ATAACGGGGGAGAATACAGACAGAACAAAACCCCTTGAGGGAACAATTCGAGGGAACAGTCTCACTGTTTGAAGAATTAATAGAATAAATGATAATAATTAATATTTTAGTTTGTGTAGTCAGTGCGCTATTTTCCTATGTGAAGAAACCTACACCATGATCAAGAACTAGATTATCCTAACACAGTATAAAGGACCAAGAAATTCATCAAGGTGGATGTAAAGCCAAGGTGAAAGAGCTGTTTCAGTAATTAAGCTTTTATTCCCACTATAAAATGTTACTGTGGTAGTGAAAGAGTTTAAATCCCTAAGGGGGTTCTGTTTGGTTTTGTTTTCCTTTTTAATGGGATTGCAAGGGAATGAGCTCCATATGATGAGCAGAGTTGGAATGTACTGTTAAAGCAATTGTTGCTTAGTTACTTCATGTTTAATGAGGCTGTGAAGTGGCTCCCAGTGCTCTCAGCCAGCACAGCAGCGATACTGGAGCAGATAACGGGGCTGTTCTCGGGCAGACACACACTGGGAGGGGAAGATGCTGCTGCATTGTTTCCTCCTGCACTTTGGGGGTTTGGGGAAAATCTGGCAGACACTTCACCTTTAAAATAACACTTTTCCCAGAAGCTGAAGGTTTGCAGAACACTTAAGTGTGTGTTGCAGGAGAATGGGAGCAACAAACATTGATGACCTTAGATGAGAAGCAAAGGTCTCTGAAGATGTGGTGCAGTGCATTGAATGAGATGTTACTGGACCCTGCTTTGTGGAGCTGGCACAGATGTTCCATTCTGAGGCCCTTTTTCTGCATTTCACCCACTTGCATACAATATATACAAGTTAAATAAACTGAAATTCAAATGAGAGGTACTTGCATCTGAAGGTGATGCAAATTCTAGCAGATTTAATTTGCATTGCAATAAAAAGCTTGTTGTATATTGTTACTTCAGCAGCTGGGTTTGATACACTGGTGCTGTTTGGAGTCGGTTTAAACCTGTAGTTGAAAAATACAACATGCACGACTTAAGATTTTCTTTCAGCTGAAAGAAATGTTTTGTTGTTTGACAGAAACTGGTCTTTCAGCCACAGTTTTGTTGCTGGCTCACTATTAGGTTTCTGTATGATCCTCAGAGTCCTTTTGCTATTTGTACTGGTAAAAATAGCTCTTTTGAAACAGGTACATGTTCAAATCAGAGAGGTTTTATGTCTAGTTTTACTTTGGAAATGAGTAGTTCTCTTTATTACAAAAGCTTCTCTATTTTAATACAGTCAGCAGCAGAAAGACAAGATGAAAATTTTGCAATTTTAAGGGCTGTTTGCCTGTTTTTTAACAATGCCACCAATTTCAAATGAAAATCCAAATTCCACCTGCCCTTAAGAAACTGAACACAAAAAGCATTTCAAACTTGAGTGGAGTTGAAAGATCCTCAAGATCTTTTTATACCTGCTTTATATTTCATATTTCATGGGTTGTGTTCTATTAACTATATTACTGCTAAACTAAAGAGTAGTCAAAGAACAAACAAGTTGCTATTGTTTCATTAATACTTATTCTAGAGGATTTCTTGCTGTAGGCCAAAATGAGTAATTTGAATAGAAAGTATGAAGTTTCCAGCTGTGCAGTCTTTCACCATTTGGTGTAAGATAAATGTGGAATTGGCCTCCTTTAAAACCAACAGCCAAAGTAACTGCAGTACAAAGCAGCTTTATCTGTCAAAACAGTGACCTTCAAGGCAGATACTGCCCAAACATAGGAAGTGTGTTTAATGTATCAGTGTGTGGGGGTGGCTGATGACAAGGCTCCTGCTCTTTTGTAAGAGCTTAAAAAATGACTCTCAGCTGTGAAAGTGCATCAGTAAATCCGAGCAGGAGGTGAGGAGCTATCGCAGGCAAAGGGAAGAACAAGTGAACCCTTGGAGGGCAGTTACAAACTCCTGTCACTGGGGGGACCTGCCTGCAGTCCCACACCTGCTCCTGACACTTGGAGCACCTGGGTGTTGGTATTTAGCACATGAATGTGGTGCTTGAACGTGTTAACAGTGTTCTGTTCCTTCCAGTCCAGTTCTTAGGAATGCTGAGGAAGGCCATGACAGGAACATGCACTTCCCCCAGGCTGCAGGTGCAGCTGGGGAGCAGCAGTTGGGAGATGCCCCTCAAGCTGTCTCAGAATTTGGGACTTTTCTAGCAGAGATGTTGAGGCCTGGTGATTAGTTTTTCTTTGCAACCATATCACTAAAACAGTAGGACTATACTGTTGGTCACTCAAGTAACCAGCATATCCAAATTATCAGCTGAGCTTGGATTAACGTATATTCAGGACTGCTGAGAAAACAAGAGGTTGTTGGAATAGGAGAGGGTTTTTTCATTATGTGTGGGATAAATGTTCCTCTGCATGCAGGGGTTTAAGAGAAACTTTTCCCTGAGTAGAATATCCAAATATTCTCAGTATTCACAGTATAACTGAATCTGAACCAAAACTATTTTTCTTCTTCCAGGGTATCCTTTCTTCCTCTTCCCACCCAACTAGTCCATATTCTATAGCATTTATTGGCAATTGCAGTATCTTTGCATGAAAAATACACAGTGTCATTTTGACCATTCCTCTCTCCTAGTTTGTACAAGAATTTTCCCATTCTTATTTTCCATAAATTCTGTGATTCCTTCCTTTCTTAATAAAGTTCTTTGCAAATTACTGTTGAGATTTTGACCAGACTTCTTGAAGATCTTTTAAAATACTCATCTGTATGTTAAGATTGTATTGAACTAAGAGGTGAACTTGAAGACATGAAATACTAGGCATTACTCCAAGTGGCTGAAGCACAAGCACATTCATCTGCTGGGGGGGTGTTCCCTGGAAAAGGGGGAGGAATTGGATAGCAGGAACTCCCTGCTACTAAAGCTCATCTTTCTGAGCAAGAAAAATGTTCATGAAGGCAGAAACGGTTCCTACCCAGTGCTGTGCCTGTGTTTCAGCACTCACCTGAGCACTGGGCACTCTCAATATATAAGGCACTATAAACAGAGAGGAAAGATAGAACTACCTTTGGAAATAAGACATTTGACTCTTTGGGTTCTTTAATTACTTCCTCTTTAGGATATTGAATATTTTAAATGTCAAAATACTCTGTTTTCTGAATCATTGGGAAATCAGTTCAGACCACAGTACCAGTCTTTCAGTGGGTGTGTGAAGTGCACTGTACCCTTCCCATAACCAATTCCTGCTGTTATATCTCATTACACTGAATATAATTCACCCATCCAAACCCGTAACTTCTCTCTTGGTGTAAGAAAAACGTGGAGTAATCCGGTACATCCGTAACTGTGAGATTCTCTTTACTGTCTGTGTCAGATTCTAATGGGGCTTTTCTAAGCAGTGTGTGTTTGTATTCTGTTAGTCTGAGTTTTTATTTTCTGAATGTGTGGAGTTTCTCACCAGTAATTTCATTCCTTATGCACAGTAAGTGTTCAGCTGCAGGCAGTGAGGGAGTGCAGTTGATTTATGGGGTTCTTCCGCAGTACTTTTTCTTCTCTTCAGTAAAAATGACTGCAGAAGCAATGGTACTGGAACAGCCTGTAGTTGGTATTTAAACAATACCTAATTTAAGCTGATAATTTTTATATAAATGATGTGCGAACAACAAATGTTCAGCCTGGGAGAGTGGCCTCAAATCATTCATGCTGCAAAGTTTTCCTTTTGCCTGTATTGTCAGCTCCTTGCACGTCAAGGAGTTGATAAAGCCTGGTGAGCTCACCCTCCTTTGAATCCGCAGTTCTGAGTAGATCTGGGTCTGCCTTCTCCCAGCAGTAGGAAAACAGGGAGAGGCTTCCAAATCCTGCTGGCTGTGTCGGGCAGCTTCACACCCCGTGGTATCAGTTGCTTGCCCGGAGTGCACTGTCAAGGTGAAGAGTCAGCGCTGAGTGATTGTTGTGCACACAGATCCAAAGAGGCAAAAGATGGTTTTTCTCTAGTTTCCACTTTGAGAAATTCTCCATCAGGTGTTTGTGATTGTGTATAGATCTGTTCAAATCTGATTCTATGCAAGTGAAACAGTTTTTCTGATGGGATATGTCCTTTATATTCTGGCTGAAAGAAAATACGAAGTGGGGGTGTGAAAAATACGTGCAGTGATGATGTTTTTAGGCTGAAGGGAAAATACACCTGCTGGAGTTACTTGTTGACATGTAGTGACTACTTAACATTACGTACAGCTTATTTTCTCTAGGTACATGAAATTAAATGCAAACTTGTTTGCTGTTCCCTCATGGCCAGTGCTACATAATTAGAGGGGATCCATTTCCCCGAAATCTTCCAGGTTGACGCTGAAGTTGATGACTCATGTAAGATAAATGGGATATGCTAGAGAGAATGGCAGATCAGAAGCTGTGGGAGGAAATACTCCCAAAACTGCTGGGAATAATGAGATGTGTAACTAATGCAAAGAGGAAAGTAATAAAATACTTGGGGTTTGGGTATTTACAGCAAGGAGCAGAATTTCTCACACTGCAAGGAAAGGCATGGAAATAATCCCTGGTTTTCCGTGTTACCTCTGCTAGATAAATGTCTGTGACACGAGCCGTGGGGCTGGGGTGGCTGGGAGGGTTCCTTCCCGTAACTTTTCCAAATGCCAGTGCGCAGCTTTGGTTACTGGTGGAACCTCACGAGCAGTGAATGTGCCGGGCGGGCAGGGATGAATTTCTGCTGCCTGCGGCGTTCAGCAGAGGGGGAAGGGAGAGGGACGGGGAAGGGGAGAGAGCCCTCAGCAGCAGTTTTTCTCGGGCAGCAGCGAATGCTGCTCCTTCAGCAACTGCTGGATTTATTTTTAACCGCTTGACTCATGCTCTGTCAGATGATTGACCACCGAGCGGCACGGTGGAACACGAATGGGCAGGGGCAGCGAGCGGAACCAAAGGAAGAGGGGGAGTGGTTGTCTGGGAAGAGAGGTGGGATCTGGGAGTTGTGCCTGCTGTGTGAGCGAGTTGAGCTCCCGAGCCGGCAGCGAGCGGGGGCAGCCTGGGAAGGGAAGGGAAGGGGCGAGGGAAGGATGGAGGCTGCGCTGGGCTGCACAGCGGCGGGAGAGCCCCTGCCATAGGGACGGCACTGCCAGCGCTGCTTTGGGACAGCACGGACCGCCGCGCCACAAAGGCTTTTTTTTTTTCCTATGTTGGATGTTGCCATTCTAAAGGATTCTCATCATGATCGATAGCTCCAAGAAACAGCAGCAGGGCTTTTCCGAGATTTTATCTGCAGGAGATCTTAAGCCACTGAAGGAGAAGGAATGCCTTGAGGTGAACAGCCAGAAAAGCCTCAAGGAAGGTCAGTCACTTGCTGGTTGGGGACACAGAATGCAGAACTCCTGGGCAGATCCAGCATGTGTGGTGTGATGCTGTAGGTCAGGTAGAATTTTTGTACATAAAATGAGGTACTGTTTTCCCTCTTAAAAAAAAAAATCTAAAACCTACTTTTAAATTTTACCTGAGACTATTAAAATAACGATGATGATAGAAGTGCAGTATGCAGAAAAATGAGGGATTAAGTAATCTTTTCAGAGTATCATTTAGTGCCAAATTAATGAAGTACTCTGAAATTGTCCTGTAAATATTGCACAAAATGCTTCAGAATGTCACAATTGAAATAAATGCCATTAAATATGACATGTCAAAATAAAACCCCTTTAGTATTAGACATATTACTACCTCATTTTCAACAGTGCTTTTCTCAGCTTGTGTCTTTCTTTGGAATTCCCTTCTCCCCTCACACTTTGAATTAGATTTGACTCTGCTCTTGAAATGTGTGGTTTTCAAATTAATTGGATTTAGACTGGGCATTAAATTGATACAATGCACAGACATTAGTTTGTAAAATAGCAATAGTCTGAGAATATTTGGAGCATTATTGAGAGCTGACAAACAGTAGTATTTGAGATTCATTGTAAGCAGGATTTGTTAGGTAGAGGCAATAATGCTACTGAGACAGGGAACGGGGTTTTCTTCCAGCTGGCCTGGGTGAGGGGGAGGAGAGCTCTGGAGGTCCCTGCCAGCCCTGCCCAGAGCAGGCTGGTGACTGATGTGAGTTCCACACGGGGCTCCTGCAGCTCTGGGCTCAGCCTCCAGCTCCTCAGCCACACAGACTGTGTTTGGAGTAGACAAAATCCCTGCTTTCCTTTACAGCACTCTGCCCTGGCTTTTCCTGCAGATACCTCAGGATTGTTTGGTGATTCAGAGGTTTCGTCCTTGGTGTGGTGGCAAGACTTCTGCCTGAGATCATGCCCTTCTCAGAATTTAAATGCTGGGTTTGTTTTGGGGTTTTGTTCATTAATTTTAAAATTTGTACCTTAATAATGTTTGCAATAGCGCAAAGATAGCCCACATTCATTATTAAATTCAGTACCTGGCAGCTGAGTTTAAAAACCCCATTACTTAGCTGTAAGTTGGAGCTAGAGAAAATGCTGGGGTTTATGTAAGGTACTGCCACCAAAGGTCTGGTATTGATCAGAAGGGTGATAAGTTGAGTGTCGCTGCCAGTGGCAGTGGCTGAGAGCAGAACGGTTCTGCTTCCTTTGCAGCAGGAAAGAACTGACTGGAAGACAGGGACTGAAAGAAAGGGACAACAGAGGCTCCCTTTTCATGGTGTTTTTGTCCTGCAACTCCAACCAGGCCCAGTTAAACCTCCTGCTGCTGCCTCTGAGGCTCGGGGGGCAACAGCAAGAAAGAACGAAGCAGGGAGCTGAGAGGGACAGAGGAGTGAGGGACTGATGGGGGCAAAACAAAACCTGTCCAAGCTAAGCTACCAAGAAATAAAAGGAGAGAAACATGGAAAAACTAATGTGTGGGTAGCGTAGGTGGGCTAATGAGTAACCACGGTAATAACGATCTCCAGTCATCTTCGAGCACGTCAGTTATGTGGAAGGTGGATGAAAGGATGTACATTACAATAATGATGGTCTGTCACAGTGGTAAAAAACCTGCAATTATGGGACACTCTGCCAGTCTAAATTAATGAATATTTTAGAGCTTAAATTATTCAGTGCATAAAAGAAGATATAACTGTTTTCCACAGTCACTGTCTTTGCTTCCTTTTCTCTGTTTTAGTACCTGCTCTCCATTTTCACTTTCCTCAGTGAATGTTGCTTATCCTTTTATCTCTCTGAAGTTTGGCAACATAATGATTAAAATAATGAACCTCTTTCTGAGAGTTTGATTGACTACAGGATCTCCTCTTCCAGCCTTCCCTCTTTCTAAACCTTAGAAAAACAAGCATTTTCTTTCTTGTAGTATATAGAATGAATTATTGAAAACATTCCAAATCTGCTTGATTTGCACCTAGAGAGACTAAAACAGAGCCTCACCTTTTCAGTTTATAATGTTATGGAATATGTACTTCACGTATTTTATAGACTCTTAAAAATTCAATCCCAGCTGTTAATTTAAGCCTATTTAAATAATACTACAGATGACATTTTACTTTTTAAAAAAATTACAGATTACTTATTTGACAGAAGAGTATATTCTAAATTAGCTTGTGCCATTCTGTCTCTGATTTTTCCCCTCCTCCTCTTTCCTCCTGTCTTTTTCCTTTAGTTCAAATGATGTGGCTGGTGTTGCCACCTGAATCATCAAATGTTTTTTTTTGTTAGGACACAAAAATACTTCAAAATACCACATGCAAGTGGTTAAACCTGCAAAAATTAACAATGTAATTCTATTGGCAAACCCAGGTGAAGTGTGTAGAGATCCAGTGATTCAGGAGGTGCCTTTGTTTCATAATCTGTTTTGCACAGGTTTGGTAAACCTAAAAATCCTGAGATAGTACAGAGCTTGTTTCAGCAGTGAGGACCTTCAGAGAATTGTTGGGTGCAGAGCGTTTTTTACTTAGTATTTCTTTATAAGGAAAGAGACTTTTGCTGGAAACAAAAACCCCAGGAGTGTCTTCAGCGAATTATTATCAAGGGCACTGGCAGGTTAGATTGCAAGGATGAATTTTTTCCTTTGCTTAGGCTAATGATGCACATTAAAGCATCCTGGAGCATGGGAGGAAATCCTCTTAATTACCCTCCTTTCTTGTAAATGTTATTGTTGCATGTTGTCTGTTCTGTGGAAACAGTTCTTACTTTCATCTGCTTAATCAAAGCACCTTTTGTGTGAGCCAGGACCAGGAACAGTTCTGGCCCCGAGGACAGCACACAGTGAGAGCTGAACAGCTTTGCAGAGGGTCCCGAGCAGTGCTGGTGCCTCCTGCAGCGTTTGTAGCTGTGTGGAGTGACAACCAAAACAGGCAGAGAAGGGAAGGGAAACCCCTCAGTGCAGTCAGGCCATCACCCTGCACAGTCAGTGAGGAAGAGCCACTGTCACCAGAGCCTGGGAGACTGCAGTGAAAGGTTCTTACCTGAGCAGTGCACAGTCTTGCCTTGTACCCTAAATTGCTTTAATGTAAGATGGATGAGCTCCTGCAAGACCATGCAGAACTCCTGGAGATGTGGTATTAAACTGGTGCATCAAAGCAGTGTGCTGCTGTCTTAGGTGGGATTTAAAAGGGAATTGAATCCCACTTTGTTTGCACCATATTTTTCATGTAATAATCTGGGCATCAAAGTTACTAACTGCCTGCAAACTACTTTAAAGAAAAAATAGACTAACCAGGAAGGAAATTTTCTTTACACCTTGACACATAATTTCTTTCCTGGATTTGTTTTGCATTTTGAATTTACTGTTTTGTGAGGAACTGGAGACTGGCAACTGCTGGAAACAGGATACAGGGTGGGATGAGTGGATTTCTCAGGTGTGCACTGGAATTGTGTTCATGCTGTCTGCTTAACAGATTACCAGGTGTAGCCAGGAAGGATTTCTTCCCTCCATCCCTTGCAATCAAATCCATATCGCATGGGAATTGTTTATTCAACAGACTTCCTGCTATTGCTTTGTGGTGAATACTGATGGTACTCTTGACCTCTCCTATGGTGGCTTGTCAGACTTACAGATTCTGCTGTTGGTTTGTTGGTTTTGGTTGGCTGGTTTGGATTTTTTATAAAGAAAAAGCTCTTAAGTTGTATTATCTGGTGTTTAGAGGTGTTTTTATGACCCCTTATCGGTGGCAGTCATTCAGGTATGTTTCTTGAGACATGGATAATGAGAAAAAGACTGGAGAAAAACAAAATATTCCTGTCATCTTAGTTAATAAAGGAAGCACTATAAATTCAGGGTCATGATCTCCTGAGGCTGTGTTAAAATCTACCATAAGCAGTGTCTTTAATGTCCGTGGGATAATTGTATGTCTTAAAAGTAAAGCACCGCTTATTCCACAAAATTTTCTTCTTCAGTGTAGCACTTAAATAAATAATAAATAGGTTGTAATACCATTGTAATAAAGAGAAGCTAAAATACATCGATAAACCAAGAGCACAGTGGATTAATTTGATGTTGTGTGTAATCTGTGTACAATTAGGAGACACTTGGCTAACTGAGAGTTTTTAGAAAACTTGCTGTTGCAATGACAAGATTTCTTGAGGGTTTTGTAAAAGGTCAGGGTTAAGTCTGCTGCTTCCAAAAGTAGGTGTATTCTCACCCAGCCCTGCTCTGCTTCCTGCCAGCTCTTCCCTGTGCTGGCTTTAGTCACCGTGCAGCCCGGAGTGAGAGGGCTCAGGGAGCAGGGATCGCTGGAGAGCTTTTGTTCCACAGCGCTGCTTCTCCTCCTGCCCAGAGCACTGCCCTGCAGGGCTGCAGCAGCAGCTGGGGCTGGAGGGAGGAGGTGACCACTGGCCTTTCATCAGGAATCCTGGCTCGGCTCATCCTAAGTTATGGAACCACATGAAACAAACCACTGTCTGCTTTGCTGCTCTGCTGGGGGTTCTGCGTCCCTCCCAGCCAGCAGCACATGTGTGTGCCTCGGCCTCTCTGCTGCCAAGGCTTGGGAGTGCAGCAGCTTTGCCATCACTGTCCGAGCTGCTCCTCCACGGAGCATCTGCAGGACTCTGGTGGTGTCTCTGGAGCGGAGCTGGCACGGGGCCCTTGCTCACTCACAGCCCAGACTGCAGTCAGGCATCTCCCTGTAGATCCACCTTCCTCAGTGCTTGGAGTTGATGGGGAATTGCCTGAGTTGGGCAATCTGCTTGGGTGTGTATTTTGTTTGCTGGCTCTGCTGGCTATTCCATGGGAATAGCATGGAAAGTGGAGGGGGCTTGGCTGGAAATCATCTGTCATCATTTGGTGTAATACACTCCAAAGCAAGTCATAGTAGATGTAGAATTTTAACTCAAGTTCCAGGAGTCCCTTGACAGTACAGTTCTTGGCTGATGGCAGTATTTGAGGAAATGCAAATTA